ATTAAAGTTTCATTTTGCAAACCAAACAAGTGTTTTATGATTCCAATGGAATCAAAAACAAACAAAGAAAACTATAAAAGTGAAATTGATGAGGTGGACAACAACTTTCCAAGTTGTGTCATAAATACACAACTTTACCAACAACAACCAAACAACCCCAAAATGACGTTGTCTTATCGCTTGAAATCGAAATAGACAGTAGTTGTTATATTAATTGGACCTCTCCAATTATCACCTGTAAGGAAAAGCATCAAGTGCGTCTGAGTCATAGCATTAAATGTGCACTTAAATGATATCAATTGTTGGATCATTAGATTTCGAAATTCGTGTGCAGATAGAACGGTTGACATCTTTTAGGTGTACATTTAATGTCATTAGACCGAACACTTTCTCTCCAACTAGAAGTTATCTGAACAATAGTTTATATCTATAATAAATATATAAGAGCTTTGCTATATGGACCCAAAATTTAGGACCAACAGGTGACATCCCTCCTATTGCATAATGAGCTGACATCATTAATGATGATCAGTCTATTATGCAATAAGAGGGGGGCACCTCACATATCACCTGTTGATCCCATATTTTAGATCCTTGGTAATTTTTCTATATATAATGCGTTTGAGTTTTACATGTCTTTGCGAGAGAAAACGATGGGAAACGCGGTCCCGATGAGGGCGATCGCAACGGCACCGGCGATGAGGTAGTTTGTCCCCTCGGCGGACACATCGCCTACAGCTGCCACCGTCACGGTTGCGTTGGATTTTGGAGATGGAAGCGCTCTTGGCTTGTGGATTGGATTTTGATGGGGTTGCGAGTGTAAGTAAACTCCTAGTGAGGGGATAAGAGGAGAGTCGGCCAGAGAGAGGAGAAGCAGAAGCCATTGGCGTTGGATTTTGGAGATGGAAGCGCTCTTGGCTTGTGGATTGGATTTTGATGGGGTTGCGAGTGTAAGTAAACTCCTAGTGAGGGGATAAGAGGAGAGTCGGCCAGAGGATAAGATGTGGGCCCATGAAAATCTGACGTAGGAGGAGTTCGGCCCATGGGCTGGATAATGGTTCCTGCAAGGCTACAGGCCACCATAAAATCTCAGATACGTTTATTTTTCTCAACGTCAAGTATTATATTATTATTATCACATATATCTGTCATATTTAATGTTTTTGTTTTGCTCGTCCTTTTAACTTTTTTTTCCCTCCTTTTTTTTCCGCTCACACTAAGAGCATCTCCAACAGTTTCCCCAAAAATTTCTCCAAAATGGAGAAGCAAAAGACATATTTTCTAAATTATTTTTGCTCCAACTCTAACAGTTTCCCTATTTTAAAGAATCCTGCATTTATTACAATAATAAAAATATTCCTACATCCCTATTTTGGGATGCTCTTATGCATTGGAATTGCCCCAATGTTTTTTTTTTGTAATTACAGATTTTGTTTTATATTTATTTTCTCCTCCATCTTGTTTTGAAGAACGTGTTGCATTTATGATAAAGCATTCCCCAAATATTTGAAGAATGCCACAGATTTGGGGAAGACTCCCCTTTTTTTCTCATCCATCCCTATTTTGGGGAATGAGATGGGGAATCTGTTGGACCAAAAAAAAAACCAAAAATTCTCCAAAAGTGAGAATACCAATAAAATGGGGAAGCTGTTGGAGATGCTCTAAAGTATACTCATCTGATATCGTATTTTTTTAAAACGCTGTGAACCAGGTTATTTTAGAAAGGCTTAATTGCACTTAAATACCCTATAGCTTTGCCCTTACGTACCTTACTTATTTTTTGCCACACCTATGTACCCTAAAGTTCTTAAAACTACATTTATATACCCTCACTACCCTAAAGTTTAACAACTTGCACTTAAGCACCCTAAGGTTTTTATAAATTACACTTAAAAATCCTTAAGTTTTTATAAATTGTACTTAAATAACTTAAAAATTTTAAAACTTGCACTTAAATGCCCTCATTTATGTAAACTTGAGGATATTTAAATACAATTTTTAAAGACTTTAGGATTTTTAAGTGTCTGTTTTAAAAAAATTTAAGATTTTTAAGTGCGAGTTTTAAAAACTTTAGAATATTTAAGTGTTGTTAATAAAAGTGAAGATATACGAGTGAGTTTTAAAAACTTTAGAGAGCCAAACATAATTGAGGTTATGTAAGTGCAACATGGGAAAATTATAGTGTTTTACGTGCAATATTTCAGCATTTTGGAAATGTAACAATGTTGGAGACTATGAATTTATCTAGAAATTTTACGATGATTTTATAAAGGGAAAATTGCTTGGAGGAAGCAAAATAAGTTGGGCCAATCATCCCCACCCCCAGCCCAACAACCATAACCCATAAGCCCTAAAATTAAAAGATATATGCAACCAACCCCCAAACCCACTGCCCAAGAAAACAACTTCCCAAATTACCCTTCTTCTTCCCAATTAAAACTCAATCCATTTCCTCCCCTCCCCTCCTCCTCCCTCCTCATTCGCACCCTCCTCCTCCACGACACCCTCCTCGGCTCAGTCCGCCTCCTCCCCTCCCCTCCCCTCCCCTCCTCCGTCGCTGAGGTGGCGATCCACGAAGCCCTGCTTACTTCCGGGTTCAGGACGACGAGCCCAGACGAAGCTGATTTCTTCTTTGTTCCCGTTTACGTCTCCTGCAACTTCTCTACCGTTAACGGGTTCCCTTCTTTGGCCCACGCTCGCCCTTTAATCGCCTCTTCGATTGCTGAAATCAAAACCAAGTATCCGTTTTGGAACCGGACCAACGGCCGAGACCACATGTTTGTGGCCTCCCATGATTACGGCGCTTGCTTTCATGCAATGGTGTGCGGTGCTTTTATGATTTTACATGAAAATTTTGAAATTTTTAGAGCGAGAGTTTGTGAAGTTTGGATTTTTTTTGGTTTTGTTTTGTTTTTGAATGCAGGAGGACGTGGCTATCGCCGACGGAATTCCTGAGTTTTTGCGGCGATCGATTCTGCTGCAGACGTTCGGGGTGACCTCGCCGCACGTGTGCCAGGAAGCGGAGCACGTGCTGATACCGCCGTACATACCGCCGGGGATTCTCCGATCTCCGCCTCCGGAGACGGCGAGGAGGGACATTTTCGTCTTTTTCCGGGGGAAGATGGAGGTTCATCCCAAAAACATCAGCGGACGTTTCTGCAGCAAGTAATTAAAGAGTCGATCCTTAATTAATGAACTAGTCCATGTAAATTTTCATAAAAGCCCTTCCTAATTTAAGCAGGGCTTCGTGGCTCGTCGTACCTATGTATCTTCCCAAATTACTCTATTTGATGGGTTGAAATCATTTGAGGGATGATTTTGGTATAATAATAGCTCAATTCTGTGTGACTTTTGGTGCCCATATGTGATATTTTAGTATGTTGTGTGACTTATGCTGCATTTAGTCACATTTTGGTATTTTGTGTGACTTTTGTGGTTGTTACGTGACATTTTAGTATTCTGTGTGACTCTTGGGGCCTATATGTGACATTTCAGTATTCTGTTTGACTTTTGGGGCTGTTATGTGATATTTTTACATTCTCTGTGTTATATTCTTGTTACCAGTTACATATCCTGCTATTAAGTGTTATGTTATATTTCTACAGGTATGATTATGGCATACATGCGTATTTTTTCATCAAGGCGATCCTCGAGGGAAGGGAGATAATAAACGTTGAAGCCTTGCACATGGAGTCGCATATGCTACGAGTAGGACTTGCTGCTCAACTCATATATGAAGGGCGTGAATGGAAAAAAACTACGGTTGAAATTTGAAATTAGACAGTGATGATGCAGAATATTTTTTGTACTTTGGGGGTAGTGATGTACCTATGATTGAGTGGAAGTATTAGACTCTACATGTAACTGTAACAATTGTTTAAACGCTATGATGTAAAGGATAACTAGTTTACTAGTTGTGTGTGACATTTGTTGGATTGTTGTGTGAGCTATATGTGAAGATATGTGACCATTAGTATGATGTGTAACGTCTAGGGCTTTTATGTGACGTTTTAGTATGGTGTGTGACTTTTGCTTCTTGTATGTGACATTTTGGTGTTCCGTGTGACTTTTAAGGCTGTTATGTGATGTTTTAGTATGTTGTGTGACTTTTGCTCCTTGTATGTGACATTTTGGTGTTCTGTGTGACTTTTGAGGCTGTTATGTGATGTTTTAGTATGATGTGTGACTTTTGCTCCGATTATGTGACATTTTGGTATGTACCATTGATTGAGTGGAAGTATTAGACAAACACATAATTATTTCATTTGTTGGATGTTGGATGTTTACTAGTTGTTTGTAAATGATAAAATGTGCATTTGTAATTTCTTGGTGATCTTTTTTCTTTAGCGTATTAAATGGAATCTAAAAGTAAAGTTCTTACAGGTATCACTGTTAATACTAACAAGTCACACGAACAGGTATCACTGATGAAAAAATACGCATGTATGCCATAATCATACCTGTAGAAATATAACATAACACTTAATAGCAGGATATGTAACTGGTAACAAGAATATAACACAGAGAATGTAAAAATATCACATAACAGCCCCAAAAGTCACATAGAATACTGAAATGTCACATATGCGCCCCAAGAGTCACACAGAATACTAAAATGTCACGTAACAACCACAAAAGTCACACAAAATACCAAAATGTGACTAAATGCAGCATAAGTCACACAACATAATAAAATATCACATATGGGCACCAAAAGTCACACAGAATTAAGCTATTATTATATCAAAATCATCCCCCAAATGATTTCAACCCATCAAATAGAGTATAACTCTCCAAACCTACAACCTCATTTTATCAGTGTGACATATTACCTGTTCGTGTGACTTGTTAGTATTAACAGTGATACCTGTAAGAACTTTAATTTTAGATTCCATTTAATACGCTAAAGAAAAAAGATCACCAAGAAATTACAAATGCACATTTTATCATTTACAAACAACTAGTAAACATCCAACATCCAACAAATGAAATAATTATGTGTTTGTCTAATACTTCCACTCAATCAATGGTACATACCAAAATGTCACATAATCGGAGCAAAAGTCACACATCATACTAAAACATCACATAACAGCCTCAAAAGTCACACAGAACACCAAAATGTCACATACAAGAAGCAAAAGTCACACACCATACTAAAACGTCACATAAAAGCCCCAAACGTTACACATCATACTAATGGTCACATATCTTCACATATAGCTCACACAACAATCCAACAAATGTCACACACAACTAGTAAACTAGTTATCCTTTACATCATAGCGTTTAAACAATTGTTACAGTTACATGTAGAGTCTAATACTTCCACTCAATCATAGGTACATCACTACCCCCAAAGTACAAAAAATATTCTGCATCATCACTGTCTAATTTTAAACCGTAGTTTTTTTTTTTCATTCACGCCCTTCACATATGAGTTGAGCAGCAAGTCCTACTCGTAGCATATGCGACTCCATGTGCAAGGCTTCAACGTTCATTATCTCCCTTCCCTCGAGGATCGCCTTGATGAAAAAATACGCATGCATGCCATAATCATACCTGTAGAAATATAACATAACACTTAATAGCAGGATATGTAACTGGTAACAAGAATATAACACAGAGAATGTAAAAATATCACATAACAGCCCCAAAAGTCACATAGAATACTGAAATGTCACATATGCGCCCCAAGAGTCACACAGAATACTAAAATATCACGTAACAACCACAAAAGTCACACAAAATACCAAAATGTGACTAAATGCAGCATAAGTCACACAACATACTAAAATATCACATATGGGCACCAAAAGTCACACAGAATTAAGCTATTATTATATCAAAATCATCCCCCAAATGATTTCAACCCATCAAATAGAGTATAACTCTCCAAACCTACAACCTAATTTTCTTCAAAGAACCAACAAATTAATCTAACAACATACCAATCTGCAGTACAAATCCTTTGTCCTGCTATAATCAACACCACATGATTCCGATGAATTAGTAGAATTAGGGCTGGAGCTCTGAGATTTCGACGACGACGACGAAGATGTAGCGTCAAGTATAACACAACTATTAAGTACAGATTCGAAACCAACCTTCAGCTGTCAAAATCATCATCATCATCGGTGACTAAACTGTAGCTGATATTTTAATTTTCTTCTCCACAACCGCAACTCTGAGACTGCAGGTCTGCACTTCTTAGCCATCCCTTGCCATTTCCGCTGCTGCCTCAGCCCCACCTTTCTCCTTTGCTCCCCACCTCCTTTCCCTTCACCCTCACAACCCTAACAAACTCCCCAAAAAAAAACCCAACAAAAAAAGAGGAAAAAGTTTGGCACCGTAAGTTACTTCTGCGGCCGCCTCATTTTGCTGGCGGCATCCTACATCACCAGCGTATTTACCAGCAAAGAAATCGGCACTCCCACCACCCCTCATCGGCCCAGACTCAGAAACTGTGGAACAAAATTAAATTGCCTCAAATTGTAAAATTCCATTTACCTCTGGGAGTTCCAAGTAAAAATTAGATTAACTTATCTTGCACGCAAAGCAACACTTCTCATTCTATGTAGTTTAATTTGAAAAAGGGAAGTATACATGAAACGTCGTATCAGCATCCAACGGCAGCTCAATTTCAAACACTTAAAAATAAGTTCTCAATGATGAGGGGGTCGAAGCTATGCTAGGGGACCTATAAGCAATTTTATATGCCTACAGATACCCCCTCCAAAGTATTTCAGTCTCGTTCTTTTATAGAAGAGTCTGGGATACTTTGGATATGATTGTCCCTACCTTCAGTCGGTATAACGGGACCTCGGAATGGCTTCTGTTCTTGACTCCTTCAATTCTCCAGGCTTTTCGGTGCTTTGTCGAAAGTCTGTAAGAGTTCCGGTGCTGCATTTATTGTCTGACCGTTTGTCGGAATTTTCTGAACTTGAAGTCGATTCCTTTGAGCTGACCATTGATTGTGGCGTCGAGTCTTTATGCACAACGCGTTGTCCGGCGTAGTGTGGTTGAGTTATCCTTAAGAATATTTATAAACAATATTCTCCAGGAACTTCTCAAACCAAAAATAGGGAATAGTTTATACTCATATACCTTATTGGAGTATTAAGAAGCAGTTTATACTCGTATACTTTTCGGAGTGTTTTTGTGCCTAAATGAGCTGAACCGGCTTAAAATGAGCCAAAAAAGGCAGTAAATCGGCTCAAAAAATCCTCCAACTCCTCCGAACAAATGGGAGAGGGGTGAGTGAATGATGGACTGAACCGTCGCTCGATTTGAAGTCGTTTCGATGCTCGGTTCGGCTTCAATTTGGATTTTGGTTCGAACTGGGTCCGGTCCGGTTCGGTTCGGTTTGGTTCAACCCGGTCCACCTTATATAAAGGGGGTCTTTTTCTTTTCTTTTTTCTTTACCCTAGGGCCGGCCCCCCCCTTTTTGCCTCCTTTTTGAATTTCTCTTCCCTCGAGCCTCCGTTCTCCCTCAAAACTCGATCTTCGTCTTAGATTCATCCTTCCTTTTGATCCTTGACTGAGAAATCCCTCGAAACTTCCATATTTAGACTTTCCTTCGAGCCCCTCGAGCGCGTGGTTCGAGCACTTCCAAGATCTAATTTTTGTCGGATCCTCGAGCTTCCCCTCAGGTATATCTCCATAATCTTGATCTATTTCATGTTTGATCTAGTGTATGGAATAGCGGGATCGCATATAAGGGTTGAGGGAGTGATTTGATGCCTCAAGCTCGCCTTTTTAGGGGATAAAAAAGTGATTTTTATTTCTAGATCTGACCTCTTGAATTCTTTTTCTGTAGGCCATTATGTCGCGAGTATCGAGAGGTCGTTTTCCTGCTGCATCGGTTGATGGCGCGCCTCCCTCATATGCTGGTGAGCAATTTTTTGACCTTTTTCGAAAATTTACAAATTAGTCCTCTTTTTTCTGGATATTTGCAAATTAGTCCATTTTACCCCCCGTTGTTCTCCTTGGTGAGGCAACCGGGAAAGGCCTTGGTTCTCCTTGGTGAGGATCGACGCTTTATGGAAATTTTGCAAATTAACCCTCTTCTTCTGAGAATTTTGCAATTTAGTCCTTTTACCCTATTTTGCTCTCCTTGGTGAGGCGATCGGGAAAAGCCTTGATTCTCCTTGGTGAGGATCGACGCTTTAAAGATGGGTTTTGCTTGGTCAAAACCACATCTCATAATAAAGGGGGCGTTTTGACGCTGCATTGTGCTTTATAAGGCAGGG